ATGTAATAAAGTAAAGTTTGTCTGAAGGCTTCATTATTTTGCTGGCAACGTTTTATCTGATTGCCTGAAGCCAAATATACTGTTTTGCCAACATTTTTGGGGAAATTAAAGAAATAAAGTCTACAGCATAGCAACATCACATCTCAGTTAGGATATCCAAGAGAGATGTCCCAAATAAAACTATGTAATAACTTACTATGGACTTCAAGAACTATAATTGCAGCCAGAAACCGCCCACCTACATCGCCCCAGTGTTGCCAGTAAACCATGGTCCATCCAGAAAACAGTCTTTTCCTCTCTTAACAACTCAAACCGATGCACAAACAAAGGCAAAGCTTTGTGGGACACTGTTATCGACCACACGTATCGATCATCAGTCAATCCTCATAATTCCCGCAGCACTATAACTCTACTCCGAGCACAACAAAGCTGAAGTTTCCGTGAGAACGTAAACACTTACCGTGTCTGCTCTATCTCAAACGGTCTCAGAGTGAACTCATCCCTCAGAGACTGAAGCCAAGACATGGACCCTGAGCTGTTAGTCGACTGATTGGATTATCTGTCTCCGTCCTGCCCGCGTCCAATGCTCAGCGGAGCTGCGTTCACAGGCGGCTCGGAATCTCCCAATCCCTACTTGCATATGAAAAAACTGGACCCATCATCTTTCCCCTTGTTCAAACAATGCAATGTTTCCTATTACTTTTCTCTGAGTGGAGCATGTTCTTCTTTTGTTTGTAAAAGTTTTTGATCTTTATTTTTTTTCATAATGTTTTGCTTTTTTTCAGGACCCACATCTCAAGAGTTTATTCCTGATAATTCATTTTATTTAAAATGAAAAAAAGAAAGGGAAACCATGACTCATTGCAACACAATAATAGTGATTAAAAAACATTATTTTTCACACTTGAAAATGTAGGCTTGTGAATCACAATTTGGAAGAGCACTGTCTGAAGAATTCACATTAAACGTGGTCAATGGCTGAACTAAAAATGGATGGAATTAGCTCAAATTGGACATAACTTTTTGTTATTATTGATATTATTTACAATAAGGTTTGCAACTTTAGGGTAATAGATACAATGCTGGTTTTAAATTGTATGGAATTTGATATTACAAAAACTGATGGTTTAGCAGTGACACTGAAATAAGGAATTGTAAATGGTAGATTGAACGTTTGTTTTGTTTCTGAAGCATTTAATATGGGAGATTTTCAAAAAAGAAAAGTCAAACCATTCCAGGGTTACCTGAAAACCTAACTTAAAAGAGTATTTATATAACCTTTATATAAATAAAATACATGTTTCATGTTTTAACCTTAAACTTTTGACGTTTCCTTGGGTTTGACAGATCAGTATATACTGTAGCTATCAATAAGCACTGGTCTACAATTGTATTCACTGAGCCTACGAGTTTGGGTACTGTTAATTAGGCCTAGTTTACATTTTTACGAGGAACACCTAAATGCACCTTAAGCACAAAGCCAGCACCGGCCAAGTTCTGATCAGATAAGAAAATGATCTCTGCTGCAAGAAATGTCCCTTTAACAAACAATTGAATCATGTTATCAAATCCAAATAATATTTTGTCTCTACAGATAGATGTGCTTAGACTATTCATTATGGTGAAAACAGCTGTGACTCTCTCACATCATTCGTTTCTTACACTGTACTCTGTCAACTTTTCTGGAGGAGCATGAAGCTGTGAACCTCTGGCATCGAGGATATCAATCCATCTAAACATGGTACTTATGCTCCAAAAGTATGTAAACTGTCTGAGGTTAACTATAGCTTAGTAAAAAAAGGCCCTTGTGATTACATGACTTGCAAAAATAACAGCATTAAAATAACATTTACTCTCTTTTTGTAAAGAAGATAGAGAGGTACAGAAAGCCTATTACTAGCTATCAAAGTTATTTACAGTAAAATAATTTCACAGTGAACAAGTTGGGCCCCTTTGTGATTAATGCTGCCATCTAGGGTTGTGGCTGAGTTACTGCAGCTCAACATGATTCAGTAATAAAGCTTGACATCAAACTTTGCACTTTGAATTGCCTCTGTGTTTAAGGTGTTAACACAAAAACAAGCCTCACCTCAAGTCATGTACAATTTAACTTCACACCTATGAGATATGATGTAATAAAGGGCTGACAAAATGTCTATTTTAGAAAACTAGTCATTTCGGTTTTGTCTCACAAAATCCAGAGTAAAATCATTAACAAGGGAAATACAAAAAAACAATCTTTAATTCAGTTAACATTTAAAAAAAATGAACGGAGCTTGGCAGGAAAAAATCATTTCTCCAATGGTTTGACAAATGTCGCATCCACTTCTCTCTTTCTCATAATAGCCGCGTTCACACCAAGTACTTTCCTGTACTTAGTTCCGGCACTAAGAGCCCTGGCGCTTTTAACCCCAGGGTACTTAGTACAGATCGCGTTCACACCGGAGTACTTTTCCCTGAGGGAAGATTACAAGTACAGTAGGTGGCGGTAAGCACCTTAAAGTTGTTTGCAACCCGCTACAAAACAAGAGAAGAAGAAAAACTGATACAGGATCTGTTTAATCGCCATGTCGGTTTTCTTTATTGCACTCTCAAGACATAACATTAAATAGAAATATTTTAAATGTAACTAAAGTGTCAGTTGTACATGTCAGTAAACATTGTCAATATAAAATAAAGTGTCAGTTGTACTATATAATAACAGTAATAACAATATAAAATAAACTCCCAGCTGTAGGGAGTCTCAGCAGCAAACCCACCTTTATTATATATCTTCCTGAGACCCACTGCATCCGTCTGCCATAAACACTATGCAAACATACATGTTAGTTTTGGCCCATAGTGGACTCCATGTTGTGTTGTGTGAAATGGGGGGAATTAAAAGTTTAGGTCAAATAATATTTAAAATTATATAAATTGTCATATTTGTGTATGTGCCCCTGCCATTCCCCCACAAGGTTGCAACATTGATGATAAATAAATGACAAATAAAGCTTTGCCAGTTTATAACCGATGAAACATGATGGTATCAGAATAATCACTTACATGTGATGTATAGGATGCTACACAGGTCACAAAAGATAAAGTGTCAGGAGAAATAAGCTTAATCGCCATGTCGGTTTTCTTTATTGCACTCTCAAGACATAACATTAAATAGAACAATTTGAAATGTAAATAAAGTGTCAGTTGTACATGTCAGTAAACATTATATATAAAATAAAGTCATAACAGTAATAACAATATAAAATAAACTGTCCCAGGTGTAGGGATATTCCCAGCAGCATGCACACCTTAGTGCAACGTTGTGTGTCGTGTGTCAGTATTTACAAAAACTATACCAAATAAACTGTTATTAAATGCAGTTTGTCGCTCATCCTGCCGCTGCGCCGACGCTTCCTCATGGCGCAGCGCCCACACTTCATCCTGGTGCTGCTGGCGCTCCATCTGCTGCCTGGCGCTCCATCGAGGTGAGCATCTTGTCCTCCGTTTCCTGGGCCTTGGTGAACAGCACCATCTGATCTCCACGCAGCGACTCATTCACCACGGCACGCCGGTCCTCCAACGCCTGGGCGGTGTCAAAGAAATTCGCATCCCGTGTCCGCTTTCCTAAGAGGGGAAAATAAGCAATATACAATATACAAGTTTAGTCGCCATGTAGTTTTACAACATACTAGGAATGTGTTTTTTGTATTTTCACAAATAGAATTAAGGTTTCACAAATCTGAAACTGTGTTATAAAGAATCTTTTGACTCTCTGGGATAATCCAGTCCAGATTTGATGAGTGTAGGTATAGTGGTTTTAGATCAGGACCTGGTCTAATGTGGTCTACATGTAAAAAAAGCACTGAAATCTCCCTTTTTTTTATTTTCACAAATAGAATTAAGGTTTCACAAATCTGAAACTGTGTTATAAAGAATGTTTGGCCTCTCTGGGATAATCCAGTCCAAATAAATCGGCTATGCAGCGATTTAAGAGGTTCAAACACGGAGGATTGTTCCTTTTTGAAGAGTGCTTCATGTATGCTTGAACTTTGTTTAATGTTGTTGAGGCAAGTTAAACATAAAATATGATGAATATTATGAAATAAACATGATTGTGAACATCAGTTCGATGCGTAACGTTCTTTCAAGACAAAATTACAGTGTGTGTACCTTTGCGTTTGGTTGCTGGTAAGGAGGACGACAAAGCGCTGTGATCTAGAATGCAAAGCTCACTTGTTTCCAATCCCGAGAGTTGTCCATCCTCGCCTGAAACAGACGATTAGTGCCATGAGTTAGTGAAGCAAATTACAGAAACACTGCACAGTTATTCACAAGTCAAAACGTTTTCATACAGCGGAGAATATCTAGCTAGCTAGATGTAGCTAGCCGGGGCCGGTGTTAGCCTATTATGGCTAGCATGGCTAGCTTGATCTACTGAGCAAATAAAAGTACATCTGAGACCATTATTGTGCAGATTAAAACCCCAGTGCATGTAGTTGATTTTACCTTCATCGTGGTAGTCATCGTTGGCCACTGAATCCGCCGTTTGTAGTCCTGAGTTTCTTTATATTTAGCCGGCTGTGCACAATTCCCAGGTCGAGTGAAAGCTACCGAACTGGCTTCAGTAGCATTCCCTGGGTCGCCTCCTCGGCGTAGATCTCCAGAAGCGCCGACACCTCCTCATCATTTCTTGATGCTTGCCATAACTGCTTTCAAAAACAAACACAACGCACGGAGCGTTGTGTTTTTGTAGCGAGGAAAAACAATGGCGGCTCTACACAACATTTTCAGAGTTGTACGGGCGTGGTTTGCAATTCGCCCAGCCAATCAGCACTGGGGAACTTTTGGAGCACTTTTCACCCACAGAAAAGTACGCTCTCTGAGCTGGCTCTAAAAATGGGGGTAAAAGTACACGAGATTAAGTACGACTTTTGGTGTGAACGCGACATAAGGGGTACTCACGGAACTAAAACGCGAAAAGTACGGTGAAAGTACTCCGGTGTGAACGCGGCTAATGAAAGCAGGAATAAAAGAGAAATAAAAAAACACCTTGCTGAAGATTTGCTCAAACATTTACAAATTCTTTAACACAATGTGTATACAAATATTCATAAAATGTTTGCAACTAGAAATCAGTGGAAAGAACTCCAATTACCTTTCATTGAATGTATTCTTGTTTCATTCAGTCCTGTGTTGATTGACTTCTGTAATAATCACAGTTATTTGTCCATGGATTGGGAAGAAGGGTTGGTATTGTTTTTTGTTGGGTTTTATTTGGTTTTCCGAAGAATATTGTTTTACCTTTTGTGTATAAAAAGTGCTGTATAGACTGAGTTGGATTGATTTATAAAAGCACGGGTATTCACAAGAAACACAAAAAATATGATGTGAAAAACTCAGAAAGGATGGTCATCTTTAAAGAATCACAGCCTCTCTGCCTCCTTGTATTTGCTGAGCAGTCCGTCGTCCACCCTCAGGGGGAAGTACAGGGTCCGGGTCTTGTAGTACTCGGGGTCGGACTGCAGGTTTTGGATGACGTCTGCGAGGAGGTGGGCCCGCTCCACACCGCAGCCCGGAGCCTCGTAGCCTAGCTTGGTGAAGTGGACGTGGAGGTGGTAGTAGGACGGCTGGTAGTGCAGGTACACTCGCAGTTTACTGGCTGGAAGCTGGTAGCGCTGCAGGATGGCTTCCTAGACCACAAGGAGACAAGTGTTGTTATTGTTTGGTTGACATTATAAAAATATCCAAGATTTTGTCTGTTATTACTAAGAATATGTCCAACTACGACTCTACACAGAACTGAGATTGGGCAAGTCATGTTTTTCTTTGGCTGATTGATGGAAGCTGATTTTGACAGGGACTGGTTCATAAAATGAAAAATAAGATCAAATCAATCTTTATCCCCGTAGAGGAAATGCAGGTGTCATGGCAGGAACAGTAATAAGAGTAAAAGACAGGATAGGAAAGGTAAGAGTTCACACAATGATACGTTAAAAATACGTGACATTATAAATTATATTTAAAGGTGTTTTAAATAAATAGAAATTGATGAATATGTTCAATATAAATACAACAAAAGTATCATTTGATTTTGAAACAGGAGTTAGTTTTATTAAGCCCTATTGAAGCTATTTCCAAGATGTGGCGAGTAGTCTACATGGTGATTTATTCAACCTACTAAGAATTGATTGAAAGCACAAACGTTACTTTAAATTTGAATTATTATCGAGTATTATTATTATTTTTGTAAAATATTTTTTGTTTGGCCTTTTTATTATAGGGAGACAGATATTAAAGGGGGAGAGAGCGAGAAAAACTAAAATAGCAACAAACGGTTGCATTAGTTGAAGTTAATGATTATAATATTCAAGGTTACATGAGTACACCGCGGCAGAAAAAAAGAGGGCATTTTTTCTACTCTTCTTTTCCAATAAGACCCCCCGAGGTGACTTTGTAAGCCCACCTTGCCCTTCTGGAAGATGTTCTGCAGCAGAGGGAGGTGCTCCTGCGTCAGGTCTCTGAAACTCCGGATGCCTCTCTGAAGTGTTATGGCGATCAGATATAAATCATCAACCTGGAAGAAGAAGAAGAAGAAGAAGAAGACAGATGTTGGGAAACTGCACAGGTCCTGAGTCTCTTAAAGTATTGTTGTAATCAGATTAAATACTTTTCTAACACAACTTTACTTTACTTTTAATGTCCTCAGGTTTGGAGCTCATGGGATTTCATAAAGTGTATTTATATTCCAGGTACAACCATGTCTTACCCGTCTCTTCCTGGCCTCTACTGTGGTCAATATGTATGGTGTCTCACCTGTTTCTGGTCCCATTTGAAATCTGGGAGGAGTAGAAATCCGACTGTTGGGTCTGGATCTTCAAAAACGATCCTGTCAGCCTCGGCCTTCTTCTCCAAGATGTTGTATACCCACTGGGGAAATAAAGGAATTCAAATGTATTTTACAGTTAAGTGTGCGATATTACACCACTTAAAGCAGGTTATTAGTGCACTACAGGGGGAGATTTCAGGACACTGACCTGCACACTGAAACTCTGCTTCTGAATGTAAGGCAACGTGATGGACTGATAGTCCGCTCCCGTTTCCTCCACCAGGAAGCTCTCCTGACGCTGGTATTTCTTTATATGCTTCTCTGTGGCTGGACACACGACTGTAGTCTTTATCTCTGCAAAACAAACCAATCCATTATGTCAAAAAATTGCTCTAGCTTGCCAAAGTAGCTGCTGAATATACAATACCTTAAGTCTGTTTATTATTTTTAGATAATACCATTGAGTTGAGGGGGAGCCTGTAAGCGATAAGTGCTGTAGATGTCGTTCTTCATCTCCAGCTTCAACGTTGAACCGGTGAAGAGCTCAGCCAGGGTGTCTTCTCTGATGGGGGTCTTCTCCAAGATTATCACCGCATCCTGATCAGCAAGCTGGTGAGGACATGTTCAATTTTTAGGGCTTTATTATTTATTATTATTTTAAGCACATCATTGGGTAAAGGAAAGAAGTTGAAAAAGTCTGGTAAATTCAGAAAATGCACCCTTCAATCAAAACCAGTAAAATACAGCATGATTATCAGGATATTAGGAAATCTAAAAAGATGTATTGTCTTACATCACAAAAATAAAATATTGATATTTTTAGCCCCGTGTTCAATTGTTTAAATACAGCCAAAAAGGTATAACAATTACATGTACAGCGTTGTCATAGTCATTTCAAGAACTTCTTCTTTTTCAAGTCCATCTTAACAATAAAGCACTCATTTTTATTTCAAAATACAGACTCGTATTTTGAAATATCAAACCGGAAGTCAATGTTCCCTACTTCCTGCACAAACTCCTCAAACCACTTTGAATGAATACAACAATAAAAACATGTTCCTTTGACGGTACCGATACTTCTTTAGACTGCATAAGAATAGCTACAATTAGTGTAAAGCCGTCTGACAGTTAACAACAAACATCACGTCACCTTTCCGTGGATGAAGATGTTTTTCTCCCGGGCTGAATCACTCAAGACTTTAGTCGTTTTGAACTCAGACAGAATATTTTCACATTCAATTTCCTTTCCAACTTCTCCTCCGCCATTCTCGTTGTCAGATTTCGCCCTCTTGGCTTTCTGATATAATTCATCAGTTTCGTGTTTAGCCCATGGTTTAGCCGCGCTGTCTGCCATGTTTCTGTGTTGCTGCTTTGTGGCCAAAGATCGTCTATATAAAGAAGACCACTCACTCAACAACCGCCCCAAAACTATGGTGTGAGATCAGCCTCAATAAAAATACATTTACTTTGTGTAAATATAAATGAATGTCTCGAAAATAAGCTATTTGTAGTTATTATATTGTCTTTGATATGTTTACATTTGATTGTATCTTTATTTTTTTGCTTAATTTCACCTTTTAACTTTAATAAAGCTTTCTGATCTGTGATGCCAATAAAGCTTTTATTTGTATGTTTAAATAAGATAGATACATGGATAGATGGATAGATGGATGGATGGATGGATGGATGGATGGATGGATGAATAGATAGATAGATATATAGATAAATAGATAGATAGAAAGTTGTTGAAATTGCAAAAGTTAATTTGGTGCAGAGTGAGACCTCAAGACATCTTCCATCTTTAGGCTACAGCAGTGTCAGGTTGAAAAAAGAAACACAACACCGGTGTGAAATGATTGACAGATAATTTGACTAATATGATTAGCGCCTTGGGGCGGGGCAACTGCTGAGTGGACCAATTAAAACATTTAACGAGATAATCAGGAAGTTATTTAATGAAAACACGGACACGCTCATTTGTTTGGATACCAGACACTGAAGCTCAGAAGGGATGCGAGATTAACTTTAAAATAAACTATTTGTAACAGATATCGTGTCGTGAGTCCTCTCCACCGAACCAAAATGTACAAGGGTTTCCGAACATGGGTTTTACTGCTGGTTTTTCACACACTGACAGTTGCTGTTTGGGCAAGACGAGGTAACGTTTCAGTTTGTACTAAGAACATTTTGAAAGCGACGTTCGCACAATAACACCTAGACAGTTCATCTTGTTATTCTGTAAATGTAGTAAAGGTTGTCTGATTTATTTTCTTTGCAGGCAGATTCATTAAAGTTGCGTGTGTTTAGGAAACTGTCAGTTTGTCTAATCTCAGTAACTAGCTCACATTAGCGGTTGAGTGGTTAATCGGTTTGTTTAGTGTCTGTAGCTAGGCTTATCTTAATTTTAAGTAATTTTATTTAGTCATTACGTTTTCCTTTGTTCATTAATTTAGTTGAAGGGAAAGTTTCTGTTTAACTTATTTTTGTGCTATTTAAATTCGTCACATTTAGTTTTGACATGTTTGAAAGTCACCTAGTATTAATTTTGACATCATTTTACTCCTACCTTCTATTACGTTTTTATTGGAACTTATCTTTAAAAAATGCCTGATTGTTGATGTTTTTTTGCTTTTCAGGGAGGAGAAATGTCCTTTTCATCATTGCAGATGATTTGCGGACATCATTAGGCTGCTACGGGGACTCTCTCGTAAAATCACCAAACATTGATCAACTGGCATCCAAAAGCCAGGTTTTTCTCAATGCATATGCACAGGTCAGTTGGTGTTGGTATGTTTAATGTCCAACATGTATAACCCCATGGAAATCTTATTTAAAAGCAGTGTTTTCCTCTCTTAGCAATCTGTGTGCGCTCCCAGTCGAACGTCCATATTGACGAGTCGTAGACCGGACACCACCAGGCTCTATGACTTCAAATCGTACTGGAGAGTCCATTCTGGAAACTACACCACCATGCCACAGTACTTTAAATCTAAAGGCTACTTAACCTTGTCTGTGGGCAAGGTATTTCATCCAGGTAAGATTATTCATATACAATATTTGGATAGAACTATAATAACTTTATAGGAATTGACAGACTGTTGACCACCAAAACTGCCATAAGAAGCACATGTCTAATTATCTCTTCTCTTTGGGGTTTCCCTTTCCTGTAGTGTGTTATAAAGGTTTTTGAAACCAAACATCTTCAAGTCATTCACTTTTTTTTTTCTTCACTTGTACAGTAGTTAAATTGTTTGCGTTGTTTTTTTATTCTTTAGGTATTGCTTCTAACTACTCGGATGACTACCCCTACAGCTGGTCCATCCCTGCCTACCATCCAGCTTCATTCACATATGAGAAAAAGAAGGTTTGTGAAAAGGAAAACTGGATAAAAAGTTAAATTGACACACATGCGATTAAGTCAGTTATGTGTCTAAATTAGTACTCATTAAAAATATAATGGAGCTTAACATAATATCAGTGATATATGCACCATCCTTTGTTCCCGAAAAATTATTCTAAAGGGGTAGGGGTCAGAAACTGAGAAACCCTTCATCACCCAACCCAGGAAATACTAGCTACTAACGGCTGTTTGGGGAACAGGGTACAGAAAAGACAGTGTATAACTAACAAATTAACTTGACCAAGCAGGTTGATTTGAATACACGTACTGTTACACCCCTTAAGTGTGTGTATATGTATATATGTACAGTATATGGACAAATGTCCCTGTTCCCCTCAACATTTCCCAGTTCAAAATATTTGCTGTATATACTTAAGCTGAACTTTTTAGCGATTCGTAAATGTAAAGTGCAATTCAAAGTATAAACGTTACTACTTAAGTAAAGTTTAAAGGACACTGTAGGCATTCTTAATTTCTCCTATATTCTTCATAAAAACAATGAATCATACATTTGCATTATCGATATGCATTTTTATTGACTCAAGTAACACTACATCAAGATTATTTGACCCAAGGCTGATTCAGTGACAGGGAAAAAAACATTTTAATTTGAATCTTTATTTTATAAATTATTGCGGGAAGAAACCAGAGTAAACCCTGATGTCGGCAGAGGAAGCAGACAGGATTAACAAAAGGTTTATTGGCAACATATACAATTTCTCAGCTGTATTAGAAGGGTTTTTATCCAAGTTAAAAACAAAATGCTATACTTTTAATGACTACTGCAGTCTGAATGAACCAGATCTCTGTAGGGTTTGTGTGGTTAATAAACCCTCATGATCTGGATTGACAACACTGGAAGTCCTGGATGACTATCTCAGGAAGCCAACCTCCCAAGGTAGTAGTGGTGGTGGTGGTGGTGGTGGCATAAACCAGGTTTCTGTAGGGTTTGTGTTGTTATTAAAACCCTCATGATCTGGATTGACAACACCAAAAGGCATGGGTGGCTTTCTCAGAAAGCCAATCTCACAAGGTCGTTGTGGAAAAATGAATATAGTTCCTGGAGAGTTTCTGTCGGAACTAAAACGCTCAACACATGGCCTGAAATCACCGACAGCCCTAGGTGGGTCTCTCTGAAAGTGAGGTGTCATTTTACGAACATAGCTTTGGTCTGTGTGGTGTGTGTCATCAATAATACACTCAGGATTTAAATTGAAATATGGTGCAGTCCCAGATGGCTTTCTTGGAGGGCTAATCTTGCGTCGTGGAAGAATACATGCTGTAGGTTGTGTATCAGAAATGAAACACTCCGGGTTGAAATCAACAGCACTTAAAGCCCTGCTCGTCCTGCAAGCTGTGTCTGGAGTTTCAGGGTCCCTGAGAGGATATTCACTTGTATCAGCCAGGGTGCAGACAGCCATCAACTCAAAGGCATTCACTGCATGAGGGTTGAAGGCCTTTTTCTCCTCGAGGTTTACCATAGTGATGAAGGGGTGCCTTAGCGCTTCTTCAGGGGTGATTCTTAACCCAGCATCTGGATAGAGCAGCCTATCTAAAAGGTCTGCAAATGACTTCCTGTCGTTATATGCAACAGCGTCATCTCCGAATGAGAAAACGTCTACTGCATCCTTCAGATTTTCAAAAGAATCAAAAAAATTGTCTGAAGTATTGACACATTCACCAGTTGTGGGGCTGTACTCTTCTGGCGTTTTCAGCCTCCATGTCGGACCATTTTTGCCCTGTATCCTGTTAAAATACTTTCTGGTGTACATCGCATTATTAAGGAGATGGTCTCCTGGCTGACCAACTAGATGGCAAAGAGCTTTGATTGTGTTGTAAGTTGAGCCTCCAGGGAAGAGCCAGTTTTGAAAATACATATCCCCTAGAACGCATCCTAGTCCCCACATGTCAACGGCTGCAGAAATGGGGAGGCCCAAGTTCACCTCTGGAGCTCTGAAAGGCACAGGCTGCATCAACATGCCTAATGTTGTCTCTGAGGCTGGCATGGCCAAACCAAAATCTATTAATTTAACCTTGAAGGGCTGATCCTGATGATCGACGAGCATGATGTTGTCTGATTTCAAGTCAGTGTGAATTATACCAATTCCCCTCAGGGCCTCAAAAGCTACAAGTAGCTGCTGAGCGACAGGGCGGATTTCGTTCAGGGAAAATGGCTTTCCTTTTCTCTCCTGTATAAGGTCCCAAAGGCTCCTATCTAGCATTTCAAAGGCAAGGCAAGACTTGTCTTCAAACGTGAAGTTTTCAATGAACCTTACTAGATTCTTCTGTTCTGGGTCAAGTGCCCGGATCTCGTTGAGCATTGCCACTTCTCTAATGAGGGCTCTGCTGTTTTTAAGGATTTTGATGGCCGTTGTCTCGGATGTGTTTAGATTTACACATTTGGCCACTTTTCCAAAACAGCCTTCTCCAATATATTTCAATGGGATATAGCGTGCAGACTGGCTGGAGAGTATGTTGTATTTTACTGCCGGAAATGTTGCAGGCACCAGCTCGTCATCTGATAATGTGACAGGCATTTTTACTGTAAAATGAAAAACACTGCAACTCGCAAAACACTGTCGAATTGAAGTCGGTCTATCTCCTTCCAGACTGGATTTCGAATAAACTTAAACCTTAAACTCACTCATAGGCACTTCTTGTGACCCAGCTGATGACATCATAGAACTTCAAAGCCAAAACATTCCAAGTGTTCAAAAGCATAGAATTCCAAATTGCTTTTATCTCGTTACCATGACGATGGAACTGAAAAATCTGAATCAAACTGATGCAGTTCCATTTATTGCTATAAAATACAAAACATTACTGATTAATTAAGAAAAAGTGTAATAATATTACTTAAAGGTGGGGTAGGTAAGTTTGAGAAACCGGCTCGAGATACACTTTTTGTTATATTCCATGGAATGCTCTTAACATCCCGATAGCAATGAATATCTTGAGTGCTTTGACAAAAAATCCATAAAAAAATGTCATCTGTGGAAGCCGTAATACTGTAAAAAGCACGACCAATCATTTTAGCCTTTCAGGAGGTTTTTACTGGGAGTCAAAATTCTTCCCTCTGAAACAAATGGACACAGTGAATACAATAATCATTTAACTTTCTCTTTTACCAATCTGACATTTTTACCATATTTTAAAGGACGGATGTTCTTTGCACTCATTATTAATCAAAGGTCCATTCTGTTGGCTTTATTGCGAACAATAATAAGGTTCTCTAGACAAACATATATATAATTAGGAAATCGTTTCACATTCAAAAGGAAATGTATAGTTTGTTCAGTATTTTCCCTTTTTATTAGTGGCAAGACATACTTTTTGAGCTGTCTCTAACCATTTGAGGATTGTTGGAGACCCTTTACACAGCCATTTACTGGTTATCTCTTCAAATACAACCAAGCTCTGAGCTGATTATTGATTGAATCTCTTATTACATTACATTATATGTTACTTGTTAGACGCTTTTATCCAAAGCGACTTACATACTAAATACTGTGGGCAATCCCCACAGGACCAATTTGGGGTGAAGTGTCTTGCCCAGGGACACAACGACATGCCGACTGCAGTGGGGTTTGAACCTGTGACCCCCTGATCCGAACACCTACGTATAACCCACTGCGCCACACACCTCATCACGTCTACCCAGTTGGAACATATTTTGGGGTACCCTAAAAAACAACAAAAGAACAGGTTTTCCCCAACATTTTAGAATTTATTTGCTGTGTATTAATTGCAAAGATTCAGGATTCAAAGGTTTAATGTCATATGATATACATAGCTATCGTGTAGTTGTGTAATGAATGAAAAACTTGGGTCACAGGTTCCTCACAATGCAATTACAAGTCATAAAAAAATTAAATAACAACAATAAAAATAGTGCAAGCTCAGGCGTTAAGTAGTCTTGCTAACTATTGTGCATATGACAATAAAGCCTTTGAATCTTTGAATATGACATGCCAATATCACATCCAGAATCGACCACTGTAACAGATCCTCTATGGTACACTCTATTCAAACTCCTCAATTAAAGGTGGGGTAGGTAAGTTTGAGAAACCGGCTCGAGACACACTTTTTGTTATATTCCATGGAATGCTCTTAACATCCCGATAGCAATGAATATCTTAAGTGCTTTGACAAAAAATCCATAAAAAAAAGTCATCTGTGGAAGCCGTAGTACTGTAAAAAGCACGACCAATCATTTTAGCCGGCCCGGCTAAAATAACTGGATGGCCTACCTGCCTGTTAGCCTTCCATCTGTGCACAAACTTATCTCGTGCCCATTGGTCATGTTCGTGTGTGTTGGAGTATTTTCTAGCGCACTCGAGCTGGTTTCTCCAAAATTACCTACCCCACCTTTAACTCCAGTTTATTCAGAACTCTGCTGCTAGTCTCCAAACCAACACAGATCAAGTCTGACATTTTTCTTGGATCACAGCAGCTCCATTTACAAAAGGACAAATATTAAGATACAAGAAAACAAGCATTTACAGTAACATTGTATGACAATCACTAAGGACGATATGTTTAAGACCCCCGCTCCTCCGATGCCGTACTCTTTTCTCCACCACCTGCAGGAACAGAGCCTTTTCCATAGCTGCCCCCCTCCCTCTGGAACTCCCTCCACAAACACTACCAATCTGTCTTTATTCTAATCACAAATAAAAACTCACCACTTCAGAACTGCGTTTAATGTGTAATTTGATATTGTGTATTGTTTATATTTATTGTGTTTCATGTCAATTGTATTTGATTGCCTTCTCTTTTAAAAAAAAAAGCACTATCAATTAAATGTGTTATTATAAATGTGGGATTAGTTTACCAGACCAGACAGCAGAAACTGAAGCTTGAAAATGACATTACCTCTTAGCAGGAACTGTTCATAAACAGCACTTTGTAATTTGTTTGTAAACCTTGTGTACAGATGTGTAAAGGAGAGGATGGGAAACTCCACGCCAACCTACTGTGTGCAGTGAACGTGACGCAGCAGCCCGGGGGAACCCTCCCCGACATGGAGAGCACGGACGAGGCCGTGCGGCTTCTGAAGAGTCGGGCCGGCGATGAAAATCCTTTCTTCATGGCTGTGGGCTTTCACAAACCACACATCCCCTTTAGGATACCACAGGTACATGACTTTATATTAACTTCTGTAAGACCCTCTGTTCACTGATAGAGATGGAACATCAATAATGGCTAAAGAGGCCCTATTGTGTTTGCTGTTTTCTCTTTCTTATAGTGTGTTGTATACGTTTTTGTGCATGTTAATATGAAGTTTCTCTCCTCTAAATAATAGTTAAATCGCAAATGTTGTGATTTGAATCGGCATGGAAAATGCTGCTTTATCATCCCAATCTGAAACGCACATTTGAATCATAGTGGCTTCATTGTGTGCATCTTCATTACACGGCTCATTGGAGTGCAGTGTAAGAGCAGTGCATGGAGAATCATTCTCCTGTCAGATGATCACATGCTGTAGATGTGTAAACGGCTACAGCATGTGATCATTTGCAATAACGGCCCATGATGGAACAGAGGCCTAGCTTCCCTTGTCAGTGGGTGTTGTTTGGTTGGAAAAAAATGGTTCCTAGTTCTGGATTATTGTAGGTAATAGTTAATAGGAAAGACACACTTTTTTTTATACAAAACAATGAAATGTATTGTTCCCCTAAGGAGATTTGTTTTGGACTCCGTTTTGCAGTTCAACAAAAGATGAAAAGTCCTACAAACTACACAAAAGACAATAACCTGTTAACATATACATAGTTTGCAAATACACATATACACAGACAACATACAGCGATTTTTGCTGGCACTTTGAACACTACAAGAATAGTTCTGCATGCAATTATTCTTCTGGTGGAATCTCTGTAACCCTCCTCTATGAATACGGAGATTCACTGGAATGAGGGATAGAATTCACTAACCACTAAGGCGCCGTTTACACGAGGAGAAAACTGCTTGTATCTGCATAGTTTCGCGTGCGTATAGCCCTATTATTTACACGAGGCCGATAGAAACTGACCCCACAAACGATAACGGGTCCCAAGGTGGATAGATTTGCAAACGAAACGCTCTGGGGGGTCAACCGAGTCCGTGTAATCGCCTCTATACGAATATTTCCTGAAAAAATAACGATAGCCCCACCTTTCCCCACCTCTCCTGCTCACTGCTGTAGCATGGCCAGTAGCCATCTGTAACGATCAACTATCAAAAATAGCTGTGTTAATTAAACGCACAAGGGGTTCTTGAATGAAATAATATTATAAAAGGCAAACCAGAATTGTTAACGCCCAATATACTCCTTAAACAAAATAAACAGAGTCAGATTTCATGCATTGATCCATTATATTGACAAAGGAGCGATCTCACCCGGTGTTTGTAGAGAATATCTCTCTTTCTGAGCGCGTCCTCTCCACGGAGACGTGCTTCTTGGTCGGTCGATGCAATATCCACAGATTCGGTTTCTTTCAGTTAACTTCCCCGTTGCATTTATCCATATATTTACATGCTGAGGAAATTACTATATCCCGCTGAATACCAGCAATCGCCACACACACTTCCTCCTGTCAGTAGCTACTGCTAGTGCTACTGCTACTGACCATGCTACAGATATTAGTGCAAAATCTACAGCTCCTCTACCACAACCACCAGCAACAAGTGGACATGGAGAATTACATGAACTACATGTTGCTAAATACACCGCGGGGCATAAACAGAAGGGTAGCCATGGCAACATTGCTGCGGGGCTGCTCGGGCTGCTCTTCTTCACGGCTTTTGGTGTATTTTGGCGGAAGTTACAGCGCCACTTACAGTCCCGGCATATGTACTACAGCGTTTCCAGCGGCCTCGTTTGAACAGACGCGTTAAATGAAATGTGAACGGAAGACTTTTTTGAATACGCATACTGTGCATAAACGCAAACGTTCCCGTGTGAGTGGGGCCTAAGCCACAATAGGTACTTGTTGAGTGGAAAAGTGAAGGTCATTTTCCTGCTGCGAGACGCAGGGGTGCTTCACAGGGTTGTTGTGGACAAAAGCTCATATGTTGGAGAACCACTTTCACAAGACCCACGTCTGAGCACAAGATGGCAAAGTCTGAGAATGAATGATGGTGCTTACATGGAGAAGAGAGCATGTGGAGACCAGTATATAAGTTCCATAAATACACTGTTAGCCTGGGTTTAAAAGGAACACACAATAAAAGGTTTTCCCTTTCCTCGAGTGTTACATAAGGTGTTGTGCATGTGAATGTTCTGCAAAGGCTAAAATCCCAAATGCTCCCACACCCCCCCCAAAAACATTTTGAAACGGCTCCATTAGACTCTTTACTTTTTTACTCTTTACTTCCGTAACATAGTAAAGTCACTAAGTAACATTGTGCTTCTATTGGTTAGCACTCCAACACATTGTACGTGATAGACGAGGGGGCGGGACATCTTTAAGCGGTTGACCAATCACAACAGAGCCGGAGAGCTAACCAGAGCAGACTGGGCTCTGGTTTCAGACAGAGGGTGAAAAGAGGAGCAGCAGCACAGGCAGTATGAGAGAAATAAAGAGCTTTTTGAACATTAAAGCATGGAGACATGTAGAGCCACAACATACTAATATGAAGCTGAAAAAGGTTAAAGTACGTCATCTTTGAATGGTCATGTTTAATGACGCGGCAGCCTTAAGTTTGTTGTTTTTTAAGTGGAGCTGAAAGTGTATGAAAACAGGGAATAAAGAGATGGAACCTCTGAAAAAACACTAGACACACACACTGTATGTGAAGTGAAGTGAATTCAAAGAGGACTGATCTAGATATATGGGAGATGCAATTTGGCGTGAAGGAAGAGCAGAGCATGATGAAGTGGAAGTTGAATGAGGGCGGAGACGGACTGAACAGAGACGAATGTCAGCATGTCGAAGAGGTTTCTCACAAAGTGTAAGTTGAGAGATGAAAAGAGGAAAAGGTCGAGCCAGCTCTCCGTCAGCATGTGATCTATGTGCCATGTGATTCACACCGTAGTGTCTGCAAACGCACAGCAATCTCAGAGTGAAAACTAATGCAAAAGCTGCGGTTTCTACAAAGATGAAAGTCAATGAAGCTAAAAACATCTTGGAACATCCATATTTTCCAAACATGGCGCCGTTTAGTTTTTTTTGCATTGTCATTTAGCTTGGAAAATTCAATGGAAGCAAAAACCATGTGTAGCGGATATTTTTCCTTAAACAAATAAACAAATCCAAAGATGATCTCAAAATCAAACTGCCACTGAGGCACAGACAAGTGAAGGTTACGCAGGATAAAGTCCAATTTCCAGCCAATAATTAGTTATAGTTAAAGGGCCCATGTCATGGCCATTTCTACTGATCATAATTCCATTGTTGAGGTATACTAAAATAGATTTATACTGTGCAATGTTCCAAACTCACATTGGTTTCTCAAACAGCATCTCTGTAAAGTATGTGTATTCTCTCTCTGTCCTAAACGGCTTGTTGGAGCTCCAGCCCCCCCCCTCCCTGTGAGCCCAGTGTGCTCTGATTGGTCGGGACCAGTGTTGGGACTAACGCGTTACAAACTAGCGCATTACTGTAACGCAACTACCTTTTGCGGTAACTAATAACGTTACTAGTTACCTATTCCCATTCAGTAACGCCGTTATAGTTACTGTGATTTAAATGGGTGCGTTACTGCGTTACATTATGTGATCCAACTGAACCGAATCTCCGTGCGGATGTAACTTACAGGCGAATACAGTGATGTCCTCTCACAGTACCATGTGAAAGTGACCAGAGAGGAGTGATGATTGGTTAACGCGGGGTAACATTTCAGGGTAAGCCAATCAGAGACAGAGTTGGGCGGGTCTTGCCTTATGGGGAAAATACACAGACACACAAACACTTGCTAACACACACATACACGGCAACGCCCACCACACACACACACACACACACACACACAGGCAGATGCAAGTATCAGCGACAGCAGCAGCGCATTTACAACTTGGAGATATAACCACTATTTTCAATTTGTGGGGATAAAGGACGCAAAAAATATTACGGTGAAATGTAAACTGCGTGCAGGACAGAAAGCATTGTCCACATCGAATAACAGCAATGCCAATCTCCTGAAGCACCTAACTAATGTACATGGGGCTATAAAACGAGTCTTACTGTGCCACAGAACAACACAAAAACTTGTATTTTTATTGTTATTATTTTTAAAGTAAAGTAACTTGTTACTAGTTACTTTTATAATTTAGTAACTAATAAAGTAAATAGTTCCTTTTTTGAGAGCAGTAACTATTACTAGTTACTTTTTAAAAGTAACTTGCCCAACACTGGTCGGGACGTTGCGAGGCTCGTTGCTGCGAGGAGCAGACAGGCTTCCGGGTCGGCGATACAGCGAGAACAAGCGAAACTCATCCTGAGCACACACAAACACTCACAGCCGAAGTAAAAACAATAAGTGTGGCTTGATATTGAGTAAGAAAAAGGTTTATAACGCTGTGAGAATGGGTCTGCGGAGAGCATTTCTCCGCGATCCCAACTTAGTAGCCTGAAAAACGTTTACCCATTTAAACAGTCGTGGTAGATACCTTGTTTGTTTTAAACATCATAAATACACAAACAACAATGAATACTTGCAGGTTTTGTACCCGAATCTCCCGCTGGTCCAAACAAAGTAGGAACAGCGTCGTTCTTCAGTGCCCTACGCTGTACATATCCGGCATGAATCGCTGAAAGGTTTGTGAAGCTTTGTTTCGTGAAATGCTGGCAGAGGGTGTGGCCTCTGGGTATTCACACGTCACAGTACCCAGGAAGTAAACAATGGAAAATGAGAAATCTCCAACGAGGCGTTTTGGGGCAGCATAGACTGTGTTAGAGTTTTACTCACTACAGGGTGTACTTTGAGGGTTTGTGACTCTGCAGACCGTTTACATGGTAATAACCGGAAAAGCATGACACGGGCCCTTTGACACTACAAATAACAATGACCTCTCTTTCAATGTTTAAAAAAAAAAAAAAAAATGTCTTACTGATGCCCAAACACTCTTCCACCTGTCTCCAATAAATATCAAATTACCCGTTGCAAAGAAGCATACCCGACTACTCTACTGAACTAAAATAATGTCAATAATATCTCTATTTACTACAAAGCGGCAATAAAATAAAGTTTTAGCAATTCAAAAAATACAAATGATGGATATCTCTTACACAAGAGGGCTATCATTATGTAAATCCAGCTGTCTCTGTTCCTGGCTTTATTTACCTTTCTGTTGCTTATGTATTACAGGAGTACCTGAGTCTGTATCCCATTGAGGAAATCACTTTGGCCCCTGACCCCGATGTCCCTAAACTCCTCCCACCTGTTGCCTACAACCCCTGGACAGATGTGAGGAGGAGGGACGATGTCCAGAAGCTCAACATTAGCTTCCCCTATGGACCCATCCCTAAAGACTTCCAGGTTTGAGACAATTTTTCCTGGGTAAAGAAATGTATTAAAGTGAACCCTCTTTAAATGACCTATATCGATGCATAATCTGTCCATATAATGTCGTCTGATTTGTATCCAAGTCAGTAAAACAGATCTGTGTAAACACTGGAATCATTGTTCTCCAAATGTGGAAGTTAGTAAACGATCTTGATATTAAAAGTCCAAAATGACCTGTGTTCCAGCTGCGTATCCGGCAGCACTATTACGCCGCCGTGTCGTACATGGACGCTCAGGTCGGGCGGCTGCTCAGCGCCCTCGATGAGCTGCGTTTGTCCGACAGCACAGTGGTGGTGTTCACCTCGGATCACGGTGAGAACCTTTTCAATTAGATTTCTGGCCAAAATACTGACATGTTTTTTTTTTCTTTTCTGTAAAATAAAAAGTTCTAATGGCAGTTATCATTGCACAGTATTTAGGTTTCCTTTTATTAACCAGATTTAATTCTGTTTTCCCCTTTTAATACCTTAAACAATTTGTACATAATGTATTTAAACACAACCTCATTGTATTTAAATGTGTATTTAAAAAAACTTTGTATATAGTTTCCAAATTGTATACATATTAATTTAGTAGGAAGTTATATTCTGTGGTTTATAGATAATCTTTATATTTATACTGGTGATAGATCCATATTAGCGACTATACTCCTGAATATGTAAATAGCTAAGAGGCTAAACTTGGTTCTTGCTGTGATGCCTTCCAAAATAAAAGTCTGTCCTGAAGTAAAAGTTTTACGATTTTAACAAAGAAAATACACAAACAATAAACAAGCCAGCTCACCCTCTGTGTCATACAATCCCCGAAAAACAGGCGGACTAAATACCAATAAATCACACCCATGTGATAATTACCGGGAGGAATGATAAAATACAAACGATGTACAAATAATGATAATAATAAAGTTAGGCTAAATAAGCATATTGGCTCCTACATAAATATTTACTGTTTTTGCTTTTTTTTTATTCCTATTTTATTGTATTTTAAATTAATATGCAAAGCCTTGAAGACATGCTGAAAAAACAACAATCCAATTTGGGATCAATACATTAAATCTAATCTAAGTAAATATTGCAGATGTGTGGCAGTTGCCTGTACCACCACCAGATGGCAGTGTTGTAACAGCACATTGTGTTTGACTTCCTTTGGCTGTACTCTAAAAACCCAGCTCTTTATTGCCTTACCTCTTATTTTTTTCAGACTTTGTGACTTGGAAACTTAATTTCTTTTAATGTCTCCTTCAGTGGAGGATGCTGGAGGGAATCTTTTCCATGACCGCTTGATTTACACGCAGTAAAACTCAATGAAATGCCATCATTTTCAAATATTAGATGACTGGGAATCTAACAATGTGATTTTATGTTGTAGATTAGCACTCTTTTTAATACCTTTCATGATCTCTCTTTTTGTCTGTTGTTGCAGGTTGGTCTTTGGGAGAGCACGGTGAATGGGCCAAATATTCCAATTTTGACGTGGCGACGCGAGTCCCCCTTATGTTCTACGTTCCTGAGGTCACCTCACACCGTAACTCGCGTGGAGAGTCTACCTTTCCTTATATTGACGCATTCAACCAATCACAGCACAGCTTTAACAGTAAGACTAATATTTCTTTATGTGTTTGGTCTTAGTTCCTTTAAAAAAACTTGTATTAATACGCCGACTTGACTTAAATGAAGTCTTTGATACACTTGGAGATCTCCCTAAAGTGTTTCGACAGGGATCCACTTTGATATTTCCCCCGGACAGTTTCTGCTTCAAGTGCAAATGCTGCAATGATGATGAAATGTAAGAGCAGGGCGCCTGGTGAATCTTTGACCATATCTTTACTTTCATTTGCCGTCAGTGCTTTTTAAGACGTTCACTAATTGGCTGACCTCTCTCTTTCAGATGACAAAGTGATTAAGAACATGGTGGAGCTGGTGGATGTTTTCCCGACCGTCTCCGACATGGCCGGCCTCAGAGCTCTGAAACCCTGTCCTGATGTTTCCTTCCAGGTATGGAGCGATGGAAATGAAGGAATGTGTTTATTTAGTTTAGTATTTTTAAAATCCCCAAATCCCCTCCAGGGGGAGTTTCTCTCACTTTAGTGAGAATGCATGTGTTTGGGAAGTAGTGAGCATTGGATGATTTGACAAGTTGTATGAGAGTCATTTTAAGGGGAAAGTTCACCTTTCAATATTCATAAAAAATGTTTCAAAATAAAGCTCTAAGTAATTTATTCTTTGTAACCTTGGCAGAGCTCGTTTTTCTGTTGTCAACCTTTTTTGTTGTCTATTTGAATCAATGTCATTTCCTGTTCACATTTCACTAACAGGCCTTCAGGTACCTTTCTACAGATGGTTCAATGGCCTTGTGTTAACACTGCCAAACAGATTGAATGTAGAGAAGTAAAACACGCCTGATGTGAAAGTGATCTAACGGCCTCTGTCTTTCATTCCCTCTCCTCTTGGGTCTGTTTTTCTTGCTTTCAGGAAGAGTTGTGTACAGAAGGACACAACCGGGCCAAAACCTTCCGACGCCCAGAGAGAGGAGAGAACGCGGAGGCGGTGTCGTTCAGCCAGTACCCCCGACCCGCCGAGACCCCGCAGGTACCACACCGGAGTGTTTAGAAAAGCACATTTAAAAAGGAGCAAATTAAATAGCCTTCACCAGCCGTATAAAGGTTAAATCATTATTATTTTCCATCGTTCAGAAAGCAGGTGCGTTCTGTAAATTAATGTCACACGGTTACTTTTTAATGAAAGGATTTTGTAGATGCATTTAAAATGAGTGAAGGTCATGAGAGCTGTGTTGAACGAGCGTGGTTTGGCTCTCTGACCCGCTGCATTGTGCTGTCGCTCGTACGGAGCCGCCAGCAGGTTCTCTGGATGATCTCTGGATGAACGGATCCAGAGGAGAGAGCTGCACCTGCTGCAGGTTCAACTCTGTACGGAGCCGCCTGGCAGCCGCACAGCAGCTCAGCCACGGGGCGCAGGAGGAGTTGGCAAAAGCTATAAATGAGCACTGCAGAAAGAAGGGCCGTACCCAAAGTCTTTTTTATTGAGGTTTTTTTAATGAAACTTCAAATGTCTTGACCTAAAACATTTTTTTTAAATATCCTCAAACTCAATTCTATATTAAAGGTCCCATGTCATGCTTTTCTGGTTATTACCCGTCCCCTTGTGTGTTATGTAGCTTGTTCTGCATGTAAACGGTCTGCAGAGTCACAAACCCTCAAAGTACACCCTGTAGCGAGTAAAACTCTAACACAGAAAATACCTCCCCAAAACGCCTCGTTGGAGATTTCTCTTTTTCCATTTTTTTCGGTGCGGTTCCCGGAACCAAAATGGACCAATCCGTGGAGCTCCTCACACACCAGGACCTTTAGCGTACATTTTCAACTAACGGGGAGTCCCATTGACTTGCATAGAGCTCCCTGGTTGGTAATAGACGAGTTGGGATCGCGGGGAAATGCTCTCCGCAGACCCATTCTCACAGCGTTTATAAACCTTTTTCTTACTCAATATCAAGCCACACTTATTGTTTTTACTTCGGCTGTGAGTGTTTGTGTGTGTGCTCAGGATGAGTTTCGCGCTGTCCCGCTGTATCGCCGACCCGGAAACCACACCAGTAAGCCAGATCACTGAGCAGCGAGCCTCGCAACGTCCCGACCAATCAGAGCACACTGGGCTCACAGGGAGGGGGGGGCAGGAGCTCCAACAAGCCGTTTAGGACAGAGAGAGAATACACATACTTTACAGAGATGCTGTATGAGAAACCAATGTGAGTTTGGAAAATTGCACAATATAAATCTATCTTAGTAGACCTCAACAATGGAATTATGATCAGTAGAAATGGCCATGACATGGGACCTTTAATAGAATTATCTGTGAGAGGCTCAAGATCAACAAATATGGAATGAAAAAGAATATTTTGTTTGCCGAAATGTGTGAATTTCTCTTTTGGTTATTTTTTTCTTTTTTATCCATATTTTTCGTATGAATCTTTAATTTCAATTCATTTTAATTACTTTTGGGTCCTTTTTGAACATTGTTTTTATTTATAAATATTTTTTTCTTAATGTAAAAAAAACCCGCTTTTAGATTTAAGGCGTACAATAAGCTGTGTTTTAATTAAATGTTTACCTGTATGTAAAAAAAAAAAAGGACATTTGTATAGACAATAAATGAAAATAAATCCTATGCAGCCACCACAGAAATCTGAATCTACAAATTGTTTAATGCTAATAATATTAGTGTGGCCTAATCTTCTGTTACTCTGTAGAAATACTGGGTGTAAACAAAAAAGACATGTGAGATTTGAATGTCAACGATATGAATGAAGCTTCAAAAAAGCCTGTACAGCCCTCGCCAAATGTTCTGTTGCATTTTGAAATGCTTTTATGTTTCCTTGTTGTTCTTTTAGGAGAACTCTGACCTCCCTGACCTCAAAGACATAAAGATCATGGGCTACTCTCTGCGCACCTGGGACTACAGATACACTCTGTGGCTGGGCTTCAACCCCAACACGTTCCAGGTGGGTGTCCTGCCCAGCATGAGGCTCGCCTCTCTCACCAATGGCTCTCTCCTCCTCTGTCTCAACGTTTCAGGTTCAGGCTGGGGAGCTGTGTTTGGGTGACGGATCTATCCATCTTGTCAGGCACAATAAACTGGAGACGTTTCCCACAACCGGAAGGACTGTAGTTCAGAGCCGAATTGTTTTCAAATGTTTGCTATCAAATGCAGCCTCCTTGTGAAAAAGAGTTGAACATTTTAAACCCTCGGCACACCACCATTTGTGTGCGTCTGCTTTGTGCGCTACAGGTTTAAAATGTTCAACTTTTCCAAAAATAGTTGATGACAAAAGCCTGTTTTGACCCAGTCTGTCAGACGGAAACAGAACACAGATTAAAAAGGCAGATTTGTTGGAGCAGATTGGCCGGGCCGACACTACTTTTGCTGTCGGTGAGTGGTTATACTTTTATCTTCATACGCAGATCATTTTTGTCAGACGACTGTGAGCCGTAATAGTATTTTTTAATAACTTCTAATACATTTTTTTACAGGTTGAGTAGGGGTTTCATTACATTCAAGATTTCAACATGACACCAAGAAATTAATAAGCACCAAAAATTACTTAGTACCAGTTAATGGGAGCATTTTAAAGGATATATGAAGACAAATATAAATACGTAAGCAACAGAGTTAATGAAATGGTTGTAGCACAACAACAACAACAACAAGCTATGTGGACACAAAGCCTAACGGATTATATTTGTCTTACCCCCCCTCCGTCTCTCCACCCAGGTGAATGTCTCAGACGTCCACGCTGGAGAGCTGTACATGTTGGCGAGCGACCCCGGTCAGGATAACAACGTCTACAGCGACTATGACCACAGTGTGATGATGACGAAGATGAGCAGACTGCCTCCTGTAAGTTTCTACTCCTTTTGAAACTGAATGGAACTATTTACACACATTTGTTCAGTCATTTACTTCCTTGTGTTCTGACTCGTGTCTAGACCGTGAGTCTGCAGATGAGGATGAAGCTGCAGCTCCTCTACCTCTCAGCAGGGAGGAAGAGGAAGGCGTGGTGACGAGAATAAAACAACAGATGGATGAATGGAGACGAGCACAAAGGGAAGATGGATGGATGAAAAACATCTAGAAAGGGAGAATGAGTTGTATATTCATCTTAAATTAAGGCAGACTTGATTTCATGTTATTTGGTACCAGTATTCATCTCTCAGGTTGAATTCTTCAGGCTGATGTTCCTTGCTAAGAACTTGTGTGTTTCTACATCCATACGTTCAGACACTTCCTCTTCCTGCTGCGAAACACAACTTCCTGTGTCTTTCTTCCTGGGCCTCTTCACACCTGCCACTGACGTCTGTATTATCTCAATGAGTCAATTGTGAGAAGGAAGTGTCATTATAGTTTTGCATGACTCGAGCAGCTATTAGATAGATTTCTGATTATCGACAGCAAATACACTTTTTTGGAGATGAGCATATTTGCTTTTCATTAAAGATTTGGATTAAAAGCTCTGTCTGTATGCTAAATATAAAGCTAGCTAGCAGGGATTTAGCTTAGCATGAAGACTGGAATCAGGGTGAAACCGCTAGCCTGTTAAGCTAATTTATTGACGCATTATATGTAGCAAGCAATGCAAAAATGACATGTTTTGGAAATAATGGCACTAAAAGCAACTATACCAAGTCGTTTTTGTTGAGTAAAATGTTGCTTGCTGTTGGGGTTTAGCTTCCAGTCTTTACGCTAAGCTAAGCTAATTGGCATCTGGCTAATGTTAAGCGTACAGACATGAGAGTAGTCTAGATTTTTCCAATGTAAATCAAATATTAGGTTTCCAAAAATCTTTAACTATTCCTTTAATACTGTATACCTAAACCGTACGTCTAAACCAGGGAATCTTTTTTTCCCTTACAACTTTACCGAAGCATGAATTGACGGACACATCTGATTGGCTATGAGATGATTACATCTCATTTACAAGCTGTCTTTCATCTAAAGTAATATTGAGGAAACCTAAAGAATTATCCCCTTTTTTGATTAACAGCGACACCAGTTTCTCTCCTCTATTGATCTCATCTTCCTCGGGTGTCATCTCCTCACTTTGAAGTGCAACAGCTAAAAAGGACTCGCTGGTTCTTGTACCGTGCTGTTAAACTATATGACATTTCTATTTGCACTTGCAGCTATTTGCCTCCCTCCTTGTAAACAGTCAGTTCAGATCAATTTGTGGAGCCAAAATGAAGTGAGTAAAAGCCACCCGTAATAATTCAATGCAAATGAAACGGACTGGAGCTACGTTTTACTGCCGCTCCAACGCATGAGCAGTTTTGCACTGTGGCAATTTCAGTAGGAAGCAATTTCAGCTTGAATTTCAGGTCCAACAATGAATTGAGGGGATTCGATCTGTCCATTTTTATTGTAGACTGCACCGGCTACATGGTAATGGGATGCAGAGGAGTCATCAGTGTGCTTCTAACATATGTCAGGCACTTTTTCACATCTCTCTGGCTGGTTCTGTATTTCTCCCCCTGTTGACTTCATTGCAATTGTTACATACTGTACATAGTTTTTTTTCAGTTGCTGTTCCTCCTGTGCCTGTAACGATGGTTATAACAGTTCTGCCCTGTACATACAGATAAATACTAACAATGGAAAAATGAGCTCGGTTTGGTTGCATCAGAGCCTGAGCTCCAGCTTTCTGAAGGGAAAATAAAAAAGAAATGCTGCAGAAATAATTTAAATCTCAAGCTTGGCAAGGACACACTGTTAATATATTTATGCCTGATTTGATTAGTTTGTTAAATAAATAAAAAATATTTTTTCCAGCAAAAGTTTGCCTCTTTTTTTACTAACTTATGATCCTCCAGTGTGTTTGTGTATGTATCGCTGTGTTTGTCCTGCAGAAACCAAGCAGCCTTTCCACACACACACCACACACTCCTGTTGTGATGCATTTGTGCTCTCCCACAGCAGGCGTGTAAAGGGAGGGAGCTCCTCAGGGACCTCTCCAGTCTATTCAGTGTTTTCTCTCCACCTCCCTCTGTCAATTCTCCCTGAGAGACGGAGCAGAGAACGCTTTGCTCTCTGGCTCTGGAGACATTTGGACCAAACTGATTTTTTTTTAAATTTGCGTTTGGTTCCACAGAGTCAATCTGTCTGGGCAACACAAACGGTTAAAAGCCTTGTAATTGCATTTTGAAATATAGTATAAATTCAGTCTCATGCCTTTTGATTTTTTTTACCATTTTCAATTTCTGGGCAATCAAGCAGAACATGTGTGGGACTCGGCTTGAAGTGAAGTCTGTATGCTGAAAAATGAAAAGTCAAAAATATCGAGACCAGGGAAACGCTTCACATCTCTCCCCTGCCAATTTCTCCTCTCGTAATAATTTCTACTCTTTCATTCCATTTGGCTCTCCTCCTTCACACACATTTGTTTTTCCACAATGGATGCATTTCGTTATGATTTTTTTGTGATGTTGATTGGATCACTGTATTAACGTAACGTAGCTGTAAGACTGGCCAAAGTTTAATGTAGTTGCTTTTTTTGGCCACTTGGGAGCAGCAGAAATGAGCTGTGAACGCAACAAAGACATATCGCCTTTGAAAGTATCCCATGAAGTTATTTAACAAAAGAACACCACCGTTCAGTGCTATGGAGAGATGTTTCATTTATTATTCCACGTTTTGACAAATACCGCCAGGAAGAGCACTGGATTTTTTTAGCAGAGTGGCTCTGTCTGTCACGTGACGGCATAAACACTGTTCCCCATAGACTTACACTGAGTAATGTTTTAGGTAAATCATAGTGCTTTTAAACCATTTAAGTCCTAAAATGGGAAAAAAGCACTTTAAGAATACGTTTCCCTCCATCTATTTGAATAAGCCGAGACGGAGCCGCTGGGAGTCATATTCAAAGAAAAACTTCATTAGCTTTGTGCACAACTGAACATCTTTAATAGGGGACCTGCCCCGAAGCTGTATCCAGTTATATACGTATACATAAATGACGCAAACTCTAATGCAAAATCCAAGTATTCTTAAGTCCAATACCCACTCTCCTTTTAGCTCTCCAGCACCTCCTGAGGGAAATGTCTGACTCTTCAGCTGTTCAATTCTCCACCATGTTCCCTAGCTAGTTGCTAGCTAAAGCTTTTTCAGCCTCAGTTGCAGATGCAGCTGTAAGAGCTTTGATCTACTCTGCCTGTATTCATGTTGGCCCATATTTCTGCCCCGGTGGTTTTATCAAATCAATATTTATTGTCACAAACAGTGATCTCTGACCACGTTCAAATTGATCTAATGGCAATTACATTACTGTTTACCTGCTGTTTCCTCTCCCTCTGCTCCTCTGCTGCTGCCCTCTCTTTTTCTCACTCTCTCTTACCTGCTCCTTCCCTCCAATCCACTCTGTCTTTGTCTCACTCTCATCGCCTATCATTATGTTTCTTACACTAGTAATCGCATTACAGCTATGGGCTCATATTCTGGCAGGTCACGCTGCCTTTCTATTAACGTTTCCGACATACACAATTACATTAGGGAGAGGCAGAGTGTAAAAAACGCTTTGCTCAGCTGCATCATGACGAGGGTTCGTCTCAAGGGTGTGTGAGCGTGAATCCAGGAATAGTAAACAAACTGTAGAATACTCTGCCTCCCAAGGACTTGAAGAAGTGGTTTCAGAGTATTTCTCAGAGGAGCGGTTATTCACCAGAGATTCTCTCCATCGGCCAAATTAATTCTGTAGACTCGGCTGTCTCATTCTTTTGAGGCTTCTAAGCAGCTTACAGTATTTTATCTGGCCAGTTGTACATCATAAAAAGAGACATTGTAGGGAAATAATAATATGCCATAGCTGGAATTAAGTTTGGTATATAGCTATGCTCCAATATGTTCACCAGCAGGTCTTCCACTGTGTCTATGCTGTTTGTTGCTGAGCAAATAGAAATACTATAGTGGCTTTAGCAGACATTTTACATGAAAACTGCTGCATGCTGTGGTTCAAATTACCATTCTTATTTATGGCGTTTGGTAAGCTATCATAATTCCCAGCATAGCATGGGTCTAATCAGACTAATAACTGAAACACACTGAGTGTGTTTGTGCACCATTGGGTGCACAAGAGAAGTCGACGTCACTCACTGGTTTGTGGAAGAGCGGTTTGAAGCCTTGAGTTTGGATTTTGCCATCTTTGTTTTTTTGGGACCAGAAATAACTGTATTTGGGAAAGAGCTGAAGTGAGGCCTTTATATACACAGTCTACAGGCCTGGCCACTGGCATAGAACACGCTTAGTCACTATTTAACACTAGCACTGCTTATAAAGGTGCATCAGTAATTAACATTAATTGGGCTAATCATTTTGGATAAAGATAAACAGTCTTAAAGGTCACATATTACTTTGTCATGTCTTTTATACATTAATATGTGTCCCCTCTTATCTTTATTTTTAGGAGATTCCCTCTATTTGTGTCCTGATCCATTTATATAAAAACCTGTCTGAAAATGAGCTGATCAGATTTTGGCCACTTTGTGAGGTCACTGTTTTTTGGGTTGTGCAATCATTAGCCAATAACCAACCAAGGTAACCCCTTATCCTTATACGGTAACTTTATCACCTTCTCCTAGAGCATCATTGTGCTGTTTAAACCAATCACTTCACAGAGGGGCGTGGCCAGCAGCAGCTCATTAGCATTTAAAGCTACAGACACAGAATAAGTATAACCTTGAACATCACACTGTATTAAAGTAGACTTGACACTAGCAATTGAGTCCTTTATTTCATTTCAAACCTTTATTTATCCAGATGGTCCCATTGAGATCATAGATCTCTTTTTCAAGGGAGACCTGCAGCATATAGGTTCCACATGAAACATAAAACAATAAAGGACATCATACATTGTCCTTGAACTCAATCCGAAAATGTTTACTGCAGAAATAAATCAGGTGAGAACTTGGATCATTTTCACATTGACTTCTATACAATTTGACTTCTTACAACCAGTGCAGTCGCAACCTCCTGGCCACTAAAAATAATCCAGACATTTAACCAATGTACTATCTCAAGCTACACTTGTCTGATACTTTTTTGACCCCGGACAATAGAAACCTGTTGATACATCACCTTTAATTGATCTCCTGTCATTTAGTCCTCTTCAGTAAGCCAATATGTCTGATCAGTGTAAACATGCCTGCTCTGCTCCACGGTCTCTGCTGTCTCATAATGTAGACATCTGTGGTGTATCTCCAGAGCACTTGGAGCATCGATGAAGCAGCCAATTAGAAGTCAGACAAGATGTGATATGTTGGCTGCCAATGTGAAACCAGTTTAATCAGGAGTTATTCAATTAGAGGTGACAAGCTCTTCCCTTGTTAGCGCCTCCGGAGCTGTGAACGGCGGAGCTGAAGAGGAAGCCCTGTTAGAATAAATCATTTCTGCGGGGGTTAGCATGGCTGCTTCTTCTGGGCTTTACCCTGCGAGTTGCTTGTAAATGTGAAAGGTTGTTTGTCTCTATCTGTCCCAGTGACCGCTGGGATTGGCACTACCCTTCAAAGGATTAGCTAATGGATGATGGACTTTTAAAACGTGACAAAGAATGAGCAGCACTCCATTAGAATTGCCACTCTGCACAGTGAGACCAAGGGAATACATTTTCTGATTGGGTTTCTTTTAATGAAGCTAAATGGCTGCTCTTTGGTCACTGGTGAGAACAACCTGTGGAGTTAAAAATGGTGTGAAATTACATTCAATTAATATAATGAATTTACTATCAATTAAAACAATTACAGGCTACTGTGAGAGAATGAGATCAAGAGGGTCGTTACAAAATTGTAAAGTAGAGTATGTCTTGTAAATGCTATGAGATATGTTAATGTGAAGAATGCCAGAAAAAGCCCTTTAAAAAAAGTCATAAAAATGTTTGCCATACATTTGTATTAAACAGTTAAAAAGTGTAAGTCATGGTATAGTATGCGAGAACACTTCATAGTATAGCACGCCATACTATATAATAATATAGTATTTCATAAAAAGTCGTAGAATAGAGTGTAGTTGTACAGTATGTTATGTCAGAAAAAGGTTTTAAGTATTTGTCGAAAATATTAGCAAAATAAATTGTTCAGTATGTTGAAAATATAAGGAAAAACCACACAGTATAGTAAACTACACTTAAAGTATAAAGGTTAAAGTATAGTTGGGGGAAAGAAAATTCAAAACATTCAACTTTTGCAATTTTTATATAATATTTGTATTAATACTATTACAATACATACATATACAATATACACAAACAAAATAAAAAAACAACTAATTATAGTATGTCGAGAATAACAGAAAAAACGTTACTTTATACTTTATAACTCTGTAATAAAAACGTATATAGATAATAAAATAGGATAATAGAAATAATAAAATAGAACTTGGTAATGGATCATTTGCTTACTATCTTCAAAAGTGTGTCATGGTGTTGCTGCTCACACATCCCAGCACCGGTCCTCATAGAGTCAATAACAGTGAGGTTCAAGTGCTCATGCTACAGTAGCTGTGCTTCTACCCAGCTGTCTGAACACACCTTTAAATGGAATACATCCAGAGTGTTTTATCTGAGCTGTAGATAAATGTAGAGACGAGCAATCACTGCTCACTTCCAGCAACTTCAATAGTGATGCTGAAGGATCTTCATCTACAGTTTGTGTTCTACTGCAGGTCACATTTCCCATCAGGGTTAATGGGAACTTATTGCTGCAATATGTGTGTGTGCATTTATTTTGGTCTACTGTATGTGTGTGTGTGTGTGTGTGTGTGTGTGTGTGTGTGTGTGTGT